GTGTGGGGTGGGGTGGGGGGGGTGGAATTAACACAGAGAAATGTGACATTTTGCTGACAAGGCAGAGTCACAATAACGTCTAAATGGACGTGTCATGTACAGCACACACTCTTCTGCTTCAGTGATCACATGACGACGCATCAGACTGGAACTGACCAGTCAGCTTTGAGGAGAAGAGACCACGTCTCACCTGAATGATACCATTTATCGACATGTTTTTTAATGTTCATTTTAATCTTCTACTTCTTACTGGAAAACTACACTTTTGTAAATCATGCTCCCGTAAAGAGGCAAAAAGCCGACGTGTCTCTAAAATGGACATCATGTTCCCACACAGTGAGACCTGAAACTAAATATTAGGATCAATGTCTCCTGTGGAAAAAAACCTCTGTTATATCACAAAGTGACTGAGAAGTTACACTACATATATGACTTCCATTTAAAATGAATCACTTCCAAAAATATATTTTTTAGGAAATTCAGGCTGGTCCAAAATATATAAAAGTTTCATATTGTAAATAATGTTGGAAGTAAATGCCTACTTTTGAATCAAAAGAAAAAAATATGTTAATTTAAAAAAAAAACAAGATCAGAAAAATCCAGAAAAACAGGGTCTGTAAACATGGTCCTACCTGTGAAGAAGAACGGCGATCATCTTTTTTGAGAACGTTGTTCCTGGAAAATCAGTACATTTTTTCTATTTAGCAAATAAACCAGAGCTATTTACACAGGCTTAATGTAAGATTTATTCCTCCAGTTCACATGCTGTGTACACCTGTGCTGCCACAGACAGAGCAGCATGTCACTGATGAAGAGAATCATTTACCTTTTATGAAATAATTCCATGTGTTTTCCTCCCAGTTGATCAGCAACACCCGGATTTACCTGAGGAGGAAACAATTGAGTTGTCATTTTGATCACTCTCTCAGGGTTCTTGTTGTGTTATTTTGTTGTTGCGTCAATTTCATGGAACCACATGTCATTTCAGATTTGAACTACAGCGACGAGTGACACCAGTTGAGATGATGCCGTCAACCGCTCTGTAGACACATGACACAACTATCATCATACATGGGGAGGCAACGATGAATGAAACTCAGGAGCATTCCCAGATTTACATCCCTCAATGTAACAGTGAGGTACTGTATAGAATAAATCTATTTCCATCTGCCTGTTGGTGGAAACCTTCAACTGATCTCTGTTTTAACACACGTTACTCTGGGTACTGCAGGATGAGGCTGATACGCAGCAAACAACCCGTACAGACTGATCCTGGAACAGCAGTGACGTCGCCACACATCTTTGTTGCAACACTAGGGGTTTTCACGGTCAGTATTGACAGTTCCACTGTTACACAGCACTGGTAACTCTGATGCATGGAAACACGAGGAAACCAGCTAACTGTGCATTTTATTACCTGACATCCCAGGGAAGAATCAATTATGGTCAAATCATACGTGTTTCCACAGATGACTTCCACTGATTTTGTATCTTTGTACGCCAACCTTTGATAAGTAAAATACTATACCAATAAATTCC